TTATGAGGGGTCTGGGGTGGCATTCTCCCCCCCCATCCCACTCCTGACCCCTAATAGCCCCCCCTTCCAATAGTCCAGCATATCTAATAATCTGGCACCCCCTGGGTCCTAAAGGTGCAGGATTATCGGAAGTTTACTGTATTAGGTATATTAAAGACAGATGCAAATAAAAACATAATACAAGCTCTTTGGCTTCCACAATAAGGAAGTCATTACAGTCATTGACGGGGACACAATGGATAAATAACTGTTGCCATTTTTGTAGTATCAGGGAGTCAACTAATTAACTTTGGCTGTAACTGATCTTTTCTATTTGCTTTCAAGCAACCCACTCAGATTTGGAGCTGAAACTGCCTCCACTGGCACCACTGAAAATTGAGCATTCACTGCTCCAGCACCCTGTAGTATAATTTAATCCTTCAGATATTAATTGTACCCTAGCTAAGAAATTTTGACCTTGATTAAAAATCATTGACTATCCTTGCTTTTAGGAATACAGGCATTCCCAATTTAAAGTCTGAGCAATGGAGCTATTCAAAATGGTTTAAAAATTGGCCAATTTCAAGGATTTTTTCCCGTGACCATTGTAACTGTGGGGCAAGCTTAATGCAAGCAGATTGTGCCCAGACTTTAGGAGGGGAACAATCTGGATGCAGTTCTAGCTCTTCAAAATCCTTCTTCCCTTCTCATCTGCATTCTAGATATTCCCCACCTTCCACTATTTTTAGGTGTCATTTTCTTGAGCTTGTGCCTAGCCTGAGAAGCAGCAGGATACAGAAGCAACTGACATTAGAAGGAATTAGCAGGTAAGATAGAGGATGAATAATGCCTCTCGTGGCCCTCAAGCCTTGTCTAACCTAGGATTTTAAAAGTATGGTATTAGAAAACATTAGCTACTGTTTTAATTAATGTGTCTGAAAAATGTAGTGTAGACAAGCTCCACCTTTAATACATGCTCAACTAGCTGAATTACAGCCTCATCTAGACATCAGGGAACATTTGAAAGTTAGAAGAACCTGGAAAAATGGAACTTACTTAGCTCCTTTCACTGATTATAGAACCCTCTAGAGTCTAGACAGTACTCTTTCCAAGGTCTAGACAAAAATCCACATGGCTAGTCATTCTTTCCTTCTCACCCCAGTGGTATTTCTTATTACATGTTCTAGCAGACATTTTTGCATTTAATTAATAAGAATTTCCCTTTTTCTTAGTCCATATTCTTCTCTTTATGCAGCATAAACTTGTTGTTCTGAATAGGTGTAATCATAATCATTATAATGCAAGGCACCCTGTGGCAGAAAGGTCACTTTGAACACAAACATCCACAATTTGACAAAGAGTTTACAGAAATTAACAAGTAAATCAGTTGTGCCTTTCTTAAGTATTCCCCACATGAGAAAAACTCTTAAATGTCTCTATCTTCCCAACCAAATCACATTCCAAGAAAGGATTTTAATGTGCAGAAGAGATTTAGATTTTAAAAGTCTACATTGTTACATTTGACTCTATGAACATCCATTAAGGTAGTCTAAGGAGATTTCTATGCACGAATTGGGGGCAGAGTATTTTACAGACCTTGTTATCTTTATGAGCCTTTTATCACTGCTAGGCTATGTAAATACGTGATAATATTCTCATTACCCTTCTCTCTCCACCCTCTCTCTTCCATCCTACTGTTTGTTGCATTCATTTGTTGCTACCTGTCTGAGAATTAGATTATATGTTCTTTTGGGCATAGACCACATGTCTCCATTCCCAATGCCTAACACTTTGTGTTCCTAATTATGATTGGTTCCTTTGGGTACTAAAGTATTAATACTAATCAGAATTTGTTATCACACAGGAAAACTGTGTTTCCCAAAGTGTGAGGAAAAAGGGTAGCACTCTGGTAACAAAGGGTACGTCTAGACTACATGCCTCTGGCGACAGAGGCATGTAGATTAGGCTACCGGACATAGTAAAATGAAGCGGCGATGAGGCATACCTGGGTGGTCGACAAATACCTTTGATGTCGGCAGGGGAGCGTCCAGACTATCGCGCTGAGCCGACAAACAGCTGATCAGCTGTTTGTCGGCTCAGCCCAGCAGCCATGTAAATTTAAATGAAGCGGCGATTATTTAAATCGCCGCTTCATTTTACTATGTCCAGTAGCCTAATCTACATGCCTCTGTCGCCAGAGGCATGTAGTCTAGACGTACCCAAATATTGCACTTTGTAGGCCTGGGTCTCAAATGAAACAATTCCCTGATTACTTTTTCTGGTTATGACTGAACGGTCAGAATACTGAATTTTGAAACAACATTGTGGGAAATGATTGACAGGCATATACATGATGAGATAAAAAGCACTGGCCCGGTGTTTAAAGTCCTTGAATTGCCCTTTCAAAATTAACTTGATTGGCTTGTGAAACAAAATTTTCACACAATAAGTAGGAAAATGCTACTATTTAAACCCACTTACTACTGGAACTCCCTGGTTTGGCAACATCTGTCATTGGCAGGACCATGGATGCTCCTCAATCAGAGAGCCCGGGAGCCTACGGGCAGGAAAGCCAGCTTCCTGGGATAACAGGGTCAGCAGCCTGACTGGGGCAGTGTGAGACAGGGCCAGGGTCCCGTGGCAGCATCCAGCAACCCATGGCAGTACAGGGCTGGGTCGGAGTCCCCCAGCAGCACAGATCAGCCCTAAAGCCCCACAGCAGCCCCCAGGACCTTGAGACTGAGGTCAGAGTCCGGTGCCAAGGCCGGACTAGAGTCCTCAAGGAGCTTCCTGGAGTGTGGGACCAAGGCAGGAGCCCCGCAGTAATTCCATGAGCATGCAGCCGGGGCACTGCAGCAGCCCCCGGAAGCGTGGAGCTGGAGTTGAGCCCCATGGGGCAGGATCCCTGAAGCAGCTGACCAGGGTTGGAGCTCCACAGCAGCCCGCTGCAGTGCAGGGGTGGAGTCCCTTGACTGCCCGCGGATGCATGGGGACTGGAGCCCCCAACAGAAGCCAGAGCCTCTGCTGCCCAACGAGCTGGCAGAAGCTGGGCAAGCAGAGCAGCCAAGCCGGGGGTGGGGAAGTGAGGCATGGTGCTCGCTTTGGTTCCGTAACATTTTATAACTTATAACTTATAACTCGCAGCTTTGGTTCCGTAACATTTGTCCTACATTGCTTGCAAGTCTTCTTTTCTATTTTATCAGAGGCATTACTTTTCAATTCTATGGGGTGTACAATGAAACAATCTTGGTAACTGCTTTGTGGTTTGATGCAAAAGAAGCACAATACTGCCTTTGAATAAAAGTAAAAGATAAGTAAAGATGAAAAGGATTCATCTTTAAATAACTGAAGAGTTGCATTGGTGCACTCACCTTCAAGATTTCTTCAACACAATGGACTTCATTGGGGAAGGTTTGCTAAAATGTAAAAAAGGTGAGTTTTCTTTTAATTCACATTGGTCTGACATCAAAGATGAACAAAGGCATTTATTGATCAAATACTATACATTTTGTAGAAGCTAGTAAATAAAACATTTCATAACCTACCAAGGCTATTAATACTAGGAATACTCTTACAAACCAGGGCTTTCAGATTCTTGCTGAAGGGAATAATAGTCAGGATTCAGAAAAGAGAGTTGAGGCTTCTATCCATGAATAGCAGCATCTGTTGAAAGACTGGGGGCAGCATTATCACAGCTATGAAGAAACTCAGGACTAGTCTACAGGAGTTTAGGTCGAATACACCCACATAAGGTAGATTTTCTAAAAAATGAGTCCATACTACCAAGCCTGTTCTGTCTACGTTAAGGGCTATTTTATGGCACAGCTGCTTTTCATGAGGAGTAAAGATAAATTTGAACTTTGCACGTTTGACTTTAGGGAAGCAGATGCAGTACTGTGAAAGTCAGCATTCTTTACCTTGGGAAGGTGTCCTACAGTGCTCTGATGTGACTGCTCTGGCCAGCACTTTCAACTCTGGGGCTCTCTAGGTACATAGAAAAAGACCCCGGAAAATATGAATTTCATTTCTTGTGTGGCCAGCGTGTCAGGCAGACCTCAGAGCAGGCAGCATGCCTTAGCAGCACACCTGACCATGAATGCCCAGGGTCACAATCAAGCCCCAGCATGGAGCATGCAGAAAATCCTGGATCTCATTTCTGAGTGGGGAGAGGAATCAGTTCAGGCAGAACTATGAAGCAGCAAAAGAAATGCAGATATCTATGCCAGGATCACATAGGACATGGTGGGAAAAGGATATGCCAACGACACCTAGCAGTGCTGCATGAAAATAAAGGAGCTCAGGAACCAGAAGACAAAGGAGGCAAATGGATGGTCTGTGTCAGAGCCACAAACATGCTGCTTCTATAAGCAGCTGCATGGGAATCTAGTGGGGAACCTGACCAGTTTCCCAAGCCAGCCAATGTATTCATCCTAAGACACTCCTCTGATTGCCTCAGGCAACAGCGTGGAGAACAGAGGAAAAGAGGAGGAAAAGGAGAACAACAGGTGAGTGGAGCATCCATCATCACCAACAGCCAGGAGCTTTTTATAACTTTAGAATCAATCCCGTCGTTCCAGAATGTCTCGCTGCCAGGACCTGATAGCAGGGAGGGCACTTCTGGTGAGTTCAAATTTTTAACCATGCTACAAGTGTGTTAAGGCAACTGGGTGTGATCTGTGGTGGCTGCTCTGCCTACGCAGAGAGGGCTCTGCGGAAAAGTTTGTTCATGAGTCTCCAGATGGAGCAGAAATCCTCCCTACACATCTCCACAAAGCTCCCATAGAGGAATAGTAATCGAAATGTAGCCGTGTTAGTCTGGTGTAGCTGAAGCAAAATACAGGACTATGTAGCACTTTAAAGACTAACAAGATGGTTTATTAGATGATGAGCTTTCATGGGCCAGACCCACGATCAAAAATATCAGATAAAAAATAAATAAATAAATAGGAGAGGGGAAGGGGAGGGGGAAGAAAAAGAAAAAAGAAAAAAAGAAGGAGTGTGTGAGACAGAGCATCATTAAGTATCTGGAGAATGGGTACTTAAACTTAATCAGATAAAAATCAAAGTCAATAGATAGATTGCTAAGACAGGAAGGATACCACTCAGAGAGCTATTAGCACCTTCAGTGGTTATTAAGTAGGTAGTGTCCTAGCCAGCCCATATCACAATTGAGTCCATTAGCATGTGAATTGAATTTGTGGATGAACTGGGATTCCAGTCCATAGGGATTCCAGTCCTTCCCTGTGAAGGAACAGGAACCTATAAAATGAGGATAAGCTCCACAAAGATGCTAAAAACTGAGCAATATACCTGGTAGTCTCCACTGGCAAGAGTGGCTGGTAGGCTGGCACTGTAAGCCATGGCAACACCACCTGTCTGATTGCTGTCTGCTCGAAGATACAGGAAGTGCCCTATGAGCAGAAAAATGAATTTAAATAACAGTGTAAGTTCATGCAACCAGCAAGACATGTCTGTTGACATTTCCCTTCTGTATATCCTTTGCCTGCAGATTAGAGAGGAAATTTATTTTTAAAAAAATCTGATATTTTTCTTTTTCATGCATTTGAAAAATAATTTCACACCATTGTGCTGAAGCCTCTGTTGCAGAAGGGTGAGGATCTCTCAATGAGGTGGCAAACTCAAATGCATTGAAAACCTATGGACAGATGGATTTTAGACACATGGGAACTGAAATTGCAAGACCTTCATTGGCCCATCAATGGATACTATGGTTGGTGGATGGTATCAAGTGGAGTGCTCCCAGGATCAGTTCTAGGGCCTCTTTTGTTCAACATCTTTATTAATGGTATCACTTAGAAGTGGGCTGTACCTACGAAAGCTCATGATACCATTTACATGTTTTGTTAGTCTATAAAGCACTACCAGACGATTTGTTGTTTTTTTAAGTTTATTCTGTACAGACAAACTCGGCTATCCCCTGAAGCTTCTCTACATGTTTTGTTAGCCTTTAAGGCGCTGCTATTCATTGTTTTTTACGTTTTTCCTGTTACAGTCCAACCTGGCTACCCCCTCTGAATCTTTATTAATGACCTGGATAAGGGGATGGATTCCACGCTCAGCAAGTTTGCAGATGACACTAAACTAAAGGGAGAGGTAGATACAATGCAGGGCAGGGATAGGGTCCAGAGTAACCTAGACAAATTGAAGGATTGGGCTAAAAGAAATCTGATGAGATTCAAGAAGGAGAAGAGCAGAGTCCTGAACTTGGTACAGACGAATCCCAAGCACTGTTACAGGCTAGAGATCAACTGACTAAGCAGCACATTGGCAGAAAAGGAGTTGGGGATTACAGTGGATGAGAAGCTGGATATGAGTCAACAGTGTGCCCTTGTAGTCAAGAAGGGTAATAGCATATTAGGGTGCATTAGGAGGAGCACTGCCAGCAGATCTAGAGAAGTGATTATTCCCCTTTATTTGGTGCAGGCAAGGCCACATCTGGTGTATTGCAGCCAATTCTGGGCCCCCAATTACAGAAAGGACATGGATGCATTGGAGAGGGTCTAGCAGAAGGCAACCAAAATGATTAGGGGGCTAGAGCACATGACCTATGAGGAGAAGCTGAGGAATTTGGGCTTGTTTAGTCTGGAGAAAAGTGAGGGGGGATTTGATAGCAGCCTTTAACTACCTGAAGGGGGATTCAAAAGAGAATGGAGAGAGGCTGTTCTCAGTAGTGACAGATGCCAGAACAAGGCGCAATGGTCTCAAGTTTCAGTGGGGTAGATATAGGTTGGATATTAGGAAAAACTATTTTACTAGGAGGGTGGTGAGGCACTGGGATGGGTTACCCAGGAAAGTGGCAGAATCTTCATTCCTAGAGAATCCCAGCTTGATACAGCCCTGGCTGGGATGATTTAGTTGGGATTGGTCCTGCTTTGGGCTGGGGGCTGGGCTCAATGACCTCCTCAGGTCTCTTCCAGCCCTAAGATTTTATGATTTTAAGTGATCTGGTATCATTGCAGCGTAAGGTCCAGATTTCTAGCCACACCGAGTTAGCATCCACTCCCTATCATACTGTGAGATTTGGAGAAGACTGGTATCGCGCATGGCAATGTGGATGAAGCAGGGGAAGCTATTTCTGTAACTGATACCACAGCAGTATACCTCCGTTTGCTCACCCCCAAGAAAGCATTGTTTGGGCCCCTACCTCCACGTCCAGACCCCCTCCCTGTCCCAACCACAAGCTCCTCAGTGTCCACCTCAATCACTGCCATTCTGCCAAGCCTGGACCCCTCACCCCTTCCTGCCCATAGGCTCCTGTGCAAATGGGGTGTGCTGAACACACGGTCACTTTGCGTTCTTTCTTTGATAATTGACAGCCAGATGTTTTGGTTTCATCCCTACACTCTCAAGGAAGGATAAAAAGTTGGTTGTAACCAGAAGTTGGTGATTTAGCTGCTTTTTTTTTCTCTCTAAGGATATGTCTACACTACATGGCTCCGTCAACGGAGCCATGTAGATTACCTTTGTAGACATAGGAAAATGAAGTGGCGATTTAAATAATCGCCGCTTCATTTAAATTAAAATGGCTGCTGCGCCGTGCCGATCAGCTGTTGGCACAGCGCTGTAGTCTGGATGCTCCGCGGTCGACATCAAAGGCATTTGTCGACCTTCCCGGTAAACCTCATCCCACGAGGCAAAAGTTCATGAATGGTTTTACCGGTCCCCGTGTCAAAAAGTTTGGGAACCCATGCTTTATGAAAATTGGCTTATGAATATAAATATGCATAATTCAAAAGTGCTTTATATAAAATCTCATGTAACCTATAAATTTTATTGTTACATTCTGCTGGATTTGCATATCCTATTTTGGTTCATGTATTATTCTTGTATGTAAAGCTAGAAATATGAAGAGAGAGTCTGTCTGGAGTTTTAAATATGCTAATGAGAACCATTATTAATGCCCTGAAAGCCTAATGACTGGGGATCAACTCAACGACTTGTAAACAGCCTTGTTTGTCCTCTAAATCCAACCAACTTTGGACTAAAAATATATGTAATCATGCCACCCCGGTCTCGAAATCCATTTGGAAATTGGGTTTTTTCCAGGGGAAGAGGGATGTTTCTGTTGCTCATGGGGAATGAGCAGTGATCCTCAGGGCCAAATGGTAGAAAAAGGAAGTCACTAGAGGTTTGAAGGGAGCTTTTGTCAGGGTATTCAGGACAAGTGGTAGGTCCCATGGTGGTACTGGTAGCCATATACTGGGGCATGTCTTGCATAGGCCAGAAAGAAAGCATTGGTATGAGCAAACAAGGAAGTGGCATCCACTAGGTCATGAAAAACTGCGATGGCCTCTAGGTGAACTTTTATGGAGCTCATGGAAAGCCCTGCCTAAGGTCCATATTTGAGGCCGGTAAGTTTAGAGGTGGTGGTAGGCTGCAATTGACGCTGTAGGCA